ATAGGGGGAACAACAGTCTTAATACAAAGACAGCTAAATATTAATATTTATCAAAAATACTATTTAAAAGCTTTTCAAAGAAGGAAAGTACAAACTTCATGTGTTATTTGCAATAAAAAAATCTAACTGGAGGAGGATGATGAAATAATGCTATTATTGTGGCAGAGAGCGACATCTGGAATATATGTACACACAGTACATTACTAATGCAATCAGGTACAAATCTAACAGCAGACATTACTGATATCTACAACAGCTATACTATTGGGCTAGCCATACACTATACAATTTTCTGATTCAATTTATTTTAGATTTACCTTCAACTATGTAGTGCAAGGGCCTATTTGATTGCATACAAATTGAAAGTGTTTTAGGTGTCACCTCATATTATATAGATTTGGTAAATTTAAAGGAAAAATTTACAAGAAAATGGTATAATGTATGGCCAGCCTGTTTTAATTTTAATTCTAGCCAGTATAAGTCTACAAATAGAAATAACATGCTATTTTGAGGCTATTCTTCTTTGGACAAAAAAGTGATTCTCACAACCACAATAGACTAACATCATCTTCGATAAACATTCATGTTTGTCTGTTTTCTGCTAAGATATTTAGCCAATTGTATTTAATAGCACACAATGCACATTCGCATTAGCTGCAACCTGTAGCATCATTTCAGCAGTATGTGGCAATATGACATGGTCTCCTGTACTTTGCAAAAATAGGACTTTAACAGTAGAAAGTTTGTACAAAATGCTGTACAACTGAGAAATCCATCAAAAGGCTGACAAGCATAGCATTGTGTCTAATGACAGGTTTACTCTGAGTATGTAACAAACTAGAGAGCATCATTCACAGACATACTTTCCCTAGAGTCTACACAATGCATAACATGAGTAAGAACATGAAGGACAAAACTGTACAATGTCAAGATGCCAGTTTAAAGGACATTTTATATTTATGTACCATTCTGGAGAACATATACACCGTGTTCCAAATTAGTATGCAAATTATATTTTTCTCATTTACCTAAATATATGATGTAAATAACAGTCAGCATAATTCTCATGTTATCAACTATTAAGAGTACAATTCAAATTTTATTGAACAAACCTCCTAATGATAACAGGATTTTTGTTAAACATAAAAAACTTCCAATGCACTGTTCCAAATTATTACGCACAGTAAGTTTCAAAACACTTTACAGGTTGTAAAGAACTGAAAATTGTCATTTGTTGTGTTTGCAGCATATTTACTGAAATCAAAAGCTATTTCAATCAAACTGTTAACAACATTTTAACTTTTTAAAACATTTTAACAGGTCACGTTACATTTTAACATAGGACCCCTTATTTGATAGCAGCTTCACAAGTCTTGCATCCATTGAACTTGTGAGTTTTTGGACAGTTTCTGCTTGAATTTGTGTGCAAGGTGTCCGAATAGCCTTCCCAGAGCTGCTGTTTGGATGTAAACTGCCTCCCACCCTCATAGCTCTTTTGCTTGAGGATGCTCCAAAGGTTCTCAATAGGATTGAGGTCAGGGGAGGATGGAGGCCACACCATGACTTTCTCTCCTTTTATCCCCATAGCAGCCATTGATGCAGAGGTATTCTTTGCAGCATGAGATGGTGCATTGTCATGCATGAAGATGATTTTATTACAGAAAGCATAGTTCTTCCTTCTGTACCAGGGAAGAAAGTGGCCAGTCATAAACTCCACATACTTTGCAGAGGTCAACTTTACACCTTCGGGGACCCTAAAGGGGCCAACCAGCTCTGTTCCCATGATTCCGGCCCTAAACATGACTCCACCACCGCCTTGCCGACGTCGCAGCCTTGTTGGAACAGGATGGCCATCCACCAACCATCCACTACTCCAGCCATCTGGACCATCCAGGGTTGCACGGCACTCATCAGTGAACAGGACGGTTTGAAAATTAGTCTTCATGTATTTTTCTGTCCAGCCATTTCTGCTTGTGAGCATTGGTTAATGGTGGCCGAATAGAAGGTTTATGCACAGTTTCAAGACTCTGGAGGACTCTACACCTTGATGTCCGTGGGACTCCAGAGGCACCAGCAGTTTCAAATATCGGTTTGATGCTATGCAATGGTATTTTAGCAGCTGCTCTCTTGATCCGATGCATGGATCTGGCAGAAATCTTCCTCAATGTGCCTTTATCTGCACAAACCGTCTGTGCTCCGAATCAGCCACAAATCTCTTAATAGTGCGATGATCACGATTAAGTTTTCATGAAATATCTAATGTTTTCATACCTCGCCCAAGGCATTGAACTATTTCACTCTTTTTGGCAGAAGAGAGATCCTTTTTCTTCCCCATATTGCTTGAAAATGGTGCTCTGCTTAATAATGTGGAACACCCTCCTTTAGTAGTTTTTACTTAATTTGGGCACACCGGCCAATCTAATTATCACAGGTGTCCGAGATTGTTTTCAGTGATCAAAAGAGCCCTGAGACACAATGCCATCCAATGCAATGCCAAACTGAAAAACAAAATATTTAATCTTTGTGACACTTAAATAGAATTTGCATAATAATTTGGAACAGGGTGTAGATTTACCGTATTTGCCGGCGTATAAGACGACTTTTTGACCCTTGAAAATCTTCTCAAAAGTCGGGGGTCGTCTTATACGCCGGTACACATGTTAGGGGGGCTGCGGCATTAAGTACAGGGGTTTGCAGGGGCTGACGTCTCTTACCTGGATCCAGTCCCACGACGATCCGGTCCAGGAAGCGCGGCGTCTCCTTCAGTTCGGCCACTGGATGTTCGTGCGGCTGCGCGGCTCCGCCTCCTCACCGGTGATTGGCCGCCAGAACTGTAGCTCAGGAAAGGCACACAGGCGGCCAATCACCGGCAAGGGGGCGGAGCCGAGCGGCCCCACGAAAATTGAGTGCCGGAGCAGCAGGTAAGTGCTCTGTGTAGAGGTGCTGCTGCAACCACATATGCTGGCTGCAGCAGCACCATACGAGAACAGGGTCAGCAAGTCTCAGTGGGAGGAATAGTGCCCCATCATTGGTGTCACTGATACCAATGATGGGGCACTATTCCTCCCACTGATACCAACGATGGGGCACTATTCCTCCCACTGACACCAACGATGGGGCACTATTCCTCCCCCCCACTGACACCAACGATGGGGCACTATTCCCCCCCCCACTGACACCAACGATGGGGCACTATTCCTCCCCCCACTGACACCAATGATGGGGCACTATTCCACCCCTCACTGACACCAATGATGGGACACCATTCCTCCCACTGACACCAATGATGGGGCACTATTCCTGCCACTGATACCAATGATGGGGCACTATTCCTGCCACTGATACCAATGATGGGGCACCTATTCCCCCCACTGATACCAATGATGGGGCACTATTCCTCCCACTGATACCAATGATGGGGCACTATTCCTCCCACTGACATCAATGATGGGGCACTATTCCTCCCACTGGTGTGCATTGGAAGAGGGGTAGTCTTATACGGCGAGTATAGCCCAAACACTACATTTTAGCAGGAAAAGTAGGGGGGTCGTCTTATACGCCCAGTCGTCTTATACGCCGGCAAATACGGTATGTACCATGTAAAAAACTACATTAGGTAAGTGTACAAGGTACAAAAACGTATTCCATTCTAGTCATTTACACAATACAGCACTGGCAGTTTGAAACTAAATTCAAATGGTCATAAATGAGGTAGAAACTCAAGACACATACTTTATATGGCAAACGGAGGGAAGTTAGTTACACCACACAAACCATGCAAACTGCCACGGTCATTAACTGCAAGGAACATTGTGCTAGCATAGACATCTGCATGAATATATACGTGTCAAAAGTATATCACAGAGTGTGTGACATGTGCATGCTCTTTCACCACAGACATTGCCACTAAGTGGACATGCACAGCATGCACTCAGTGTTGTATTCCCAGGTTCTAAACTTATGCCTGCAAAAAAACAGTGAAAAAGAATTCACAAGGAGAAAGCGGTTACATTACGGACAGAAAGCGATACTCAGAAAGTCATAAAAATTATGCTTTATTGCAAAAATTGCACATTCTTAGACAGTTAGGTAAAGACCACAGTTAGCCATCACCACAAAATGGGACAATACAAAAAGAACCCACCTAAAACAAAAAATAATAATAGAAGGACGTCATGACCGGCCATGTATGTGGTTATGCTGTAAAGACAACAACACTAGGTCTTTTTGAATAAACAGCACAGAAATTTTTGCAATAAAGCATTATTTTTGATGACTTTCTGGGTATCGCTTTCTGTCCATAATGTAACCACTTTTTGCTGTCTCATTTTAGTTACTGGGCAGATTAAATATGTCTAGTGATACCAGCTACTATAAAAAACGGCCTCAATCTCCTTTGTAGCTATTCTAAACTTATGCCTGACTTATTACTGATCCAACTTCCTCCTGAACCAATTTTGGATTTCCCATCTGCCTATGACACTTCTGTTACTGACCTTGGGATCTAGGCATCTGGTCAAGATTCGACTTGGTACTACTTCACTGAAATTTTGCTAATGGACTTAGGACTTCACTCTACTTGTCCTAACTTGGATTCCGAGTATGATTTGGTGCTTCATTGTTCACCTGCTACTGACCCCAGCTTGTACCGGAACTTGGTTTTTCCTTGGTGTATTAATACCTGTACACCTACACATTGGATAACAGTGCTTCTGAGTTCCAATCACCAGTTTTGACATCCAGGCACTTGTGCTCTTCCATCCCCTTGACTTAACTTCCAGGGGTGCTTGGACTGGAAATGCAAAATAGGGCACCCTTGTCATCTTGGGCTCCTAACACAGGTACAAGTCACTAATAAGGCCCTTAATATTTGTAGTATTAAGAATTCTTGATTTAGTTTCAATTCAATAAATCTGAAGTTACAAAAGTAAATAAATACATGGAAAAACCTGCTGTGTAAAAAATGTATTTAATCTCTCGCCCTCAAAATGACAACTTACTTTTGTGCAAGCGGTACAAGGATCTGTTTCATTTCCTCCAGGATAGATTCTTGCTTCTGAGGTTGAGCCTCTAATACTTTATCTAAAGAAGGATGAACTGTAGACTGCAAAAAAACAAAAATAAGCCACATAAGGACGTCAGCATTATGGAAAAAAAACCTGTCTACATAAACTAGGATTTGCCACAAGAGTCTACATGCTATGCACATAACAGATGAAAGTCTCCCAATCTAGAGATCATTTATGTGACAGCCTATAATAGGCCCAAACAACTGTTTTTGGGGACAAAACTATAAGAGAGGATGGAACATTTTTCCTCGTTCATGATAGCCAGCATCACCACAGTAGAGGCAAGCATTTTAAGCGCCTGTACCATAAGAATGTTAGTTGCCAGACCTGATGAAACTACAAATCCGATGAGATACTGCAAGAATGACAGCCAATGGCATGACTCTCAGAGACAGAGGCATGATGCAATTTGTAATTTCACCATGGCTGGAGTGCAAGGGTTGCCACCTACCCCTGGTCTATATCCTACTCTAGAATCCAGTCAGGGTTTAATAAACCATGATAAATGATTTAATAAATCAATATAAATCAAAATCTAAAAGAGTAGTATGGGAATTTATACAAGCCCAAAGCAGTTTATACTTAATGTTATATTAAATCCTTACTTTTAATCAGGGGAAGAGGTGCACACTTGCATTATTAGATGATGATTATTTTTCTTTGGAATGATCACTTTTCTCTCTTTTAACCGGTCCCCAAGCTAATGGTCCCCCCCATCTGTTTGCGAGTGTCTCCTTAGCTAAACAGCTACTAAACAGAGGCGTGCATGCCTTAGGCTGGCAGTGTGCGTATTTAAAGACACACAGCACCAAGAAAGCCATGCCTCTGCTTATACTTCCTAACAAATTAAAGTTACTAAACCCACAACAGTAAAATCAGTCTGTATATGCTGGAAAGCATGCTTGTTATAACTCACTGTGCGTGCAACCTAAGGGGTTAAACCTCCGCATTATGTAAAAAAAAAAAAACAGTTTGATCCTGTCTTTTATGATACTTGCCTTCTTTTACAGTCCCCAATCTATCCTAGAGCCCTAGGAGACACTCTGCACTTGCTCTGTTTGCTGTGTATTACAAGAGAGTTTTTTTATTTTTTTGGGAGGGTGCATGTGATCAGCACAGGGGAACAATCAGCACTGTCCAGACAGAGGACCAAGGGTCATGCAGCTCCATAGAACAGCCAGAGGAGAATGAAAACTCCTCCTAAAAGCTTTAACCAGTGCTCGGCTATATATATATATATATAGAAGTCACAAGACTGCTATATACTGCTGATGAGAAAAGGTATCTAGGTGGTCAGAGCGGGAAGTGGGAGCGGGTACCTGCCAAAATCAGGTTCCCAGATCCCCCCCCCAAAGGTTCCAAGTCTTACTTACCCTTTTGGGTGGAGCGCCGCTTTATTTATTTAAAGTCATTCCGTGATACCCTGTGGCTCCTCATGCTGGCCACATCACCAGAAGACAAAGTAGTGATGAACCAACCGGCAGGAAGAGCACAGAACCCAACAAGGGAGCACATTCTCTAACACACAGATGTCAGCAGCCATGCCCAGAGCTCTTTAAGAAAGTGAAGATTTGATTCACCAACTGGAGGAAAGTTATTAGCTTCCTATTTTAAAGAATGACTTTTGTTCAAATATGTTACATTGCAAAGGCGTCAGTTTAAGGAAACAGACAATCTTTCATCCGTCTTGCTCAAACAATTAACACTTGTTAAACACTGTCAATTGATCACTATATTCCAGCCTAATCTGTTAATTACCTTGTAGAAACGGAATGTATTTCCATAAAGTTCTTCACATAGCATGTTCCTCTGCTCTAAAATGGCTTTGTGATTATATGCATATTCGACAATGTATGAAGCCTCTGAATGCCTCAACAATTTCTTCACCTGTCCTTTAAAGCTTTTAATTATTTCAGCCACTTGGGATTTCGACCTAAAAAAATATGAAAAAAAGAGTATATGTCAAACAAAAGTACAAGATATTCTGCTAGAGGATATTGTTTTCTGAGTGTTGCAATGTCGCTATACATTATTGTACAATCCCCAGGCAGAAGACTTGATGGCATAGTGACTAGGACTCTGCCCTATGTTGAGAATTTAAAGGTTCACAAACATGGTAAAAATAAACTATTAGCTACACAGGGTAGGTGATTTCCTGCTAATATCAACAAATTAATACAGGTTCCGTTATATTAGAATGTTAGAAAAAATTACTTAATTAGGTCTTTAACAAATTTAGCTGACTGTAGCGGCACTAAACCATTTATTTAAAGTAGATTCAAAACCACCAATTTAAAGCAGCATTAAGCCCAAAATAAAAAATTATCAAATTGCAGCTGGCTAGTTTTTAGATGTGGTGGTTGCATTAGTTTTCTTTTTTAGGCTTTTTTCCTTTATTTTCAACTAGTTATCCTACTGGTAGGTTATTTTTCAACAAAACAATGTGTCCAGACAAAGTAGCTGTTGAGACAAAACATTTAATACTGACATGGGGGCTCATAATGGTCAGCTTTTATTCGTTTATGTAAAACCTTTATCCCAAAAGGGGGGGGGAACAAAAAACTGTGTCTGTAACGGTTTATAAAGTGTGATCTGGACTTCACTTTCAATTTGTTAGCCAAGTCCCTCTATATCTTCTACTATAACACTACTCTCCCCAAGAAAGATAATACTGCTGTCCAACAGTGTCTGCTTTACTACTTCATCCAGAATACAGACACCTAAGACAGGAAGTGTGTTACGGTCTGGATCACCAGATGAAAACAGAGGGAAAATACTTAAAAAAGAGAACTAAAGAAGCCTTCACGTTTACAGAGTAACTGCACTTTTGTTGAGGAAAAAAACACCCAACCTCGGTGATCAATGTATATGGCAAGGATTTTAATGACATTGTTGCTGATGCTGACAGTACCTGTTTCTGCTCTGAAGAAAAAGCTGTTATGAGCAGAGTGAATCTGAACAGGAGTGACTTTTTCATTATTAATAATCACCTGGTGCATTTGCAGTGTTTTATAACCCCAAAAAAATCCCAAAAAAAAGCTTTAGTCCCTGTGTAAAAATCTACATAAAAACAAAAATTAACCCTTTCGCAACCAAAGCGATTTTTGCCTTTTTTTCACACGTTTAAAAAAATCATTTTAGGCCTTAAGATTATGTACCATTTTAAGAAAAAAAAGGTAAATTTAAAGATGCAAACCATTTTAAGAAAAAAAGGTAAATTTAAAGATGATGCAAATCCCATAAACCGACAATCTTCAGTTTATTCCACAACACATTTAAATGCAGCAACAAAAAAAGTTGGGATAGGGCAAGAAGAAGCTGGTAAAGTACAACCCCAATTCCAAAATAGATAGGACAGGGCCATGTTAACCGTGGTGTAGCATCCCCTCTTCTTAAATGTCTGGGAACTGAGGAAACCAGTTGCTGGAGTTTTGGGAGAGGAATGTTGTCCCATTCTTGCCTGAGCATTGATTGCTCTAAAACCTGGATATATCTTTCAGCATTGATGGTGCCTTTCCAAATATGCAAGCTGCCCATCACATAAACACTAAATGCGTCCCCATACCATTGAAAATGCAGGTGTTTGAATTGAGTGCTGAACAAGCCTGAAGGTCCCTCTCCTCTTTAATCCAGAGATCGCAGCTCCCATGGTTGCCAAAAAGCATGTAAATTTTGATTCATCTGACTAAAGAATAGTTTTCCACTTTGCAACAAACCATTTTAGCCCTGGAAACATGGCAGCGTTTCTGGATCATGTTCAGATATGGCTTCTTCTTTGCATGATAGACCACTCACTTGCATTTTTGAATGGCACGATAGACATTTTGAATGTGTTGATAGACACCGATTTTTGGAAGTTTTCCTGAGCCAGTTTTTAATGCAGTGATGTCTGAGGGCCTGAAATCGCAAGCATCCAATAAAGAGTGTCGGCCTTGTCTCTTTCACAGAGATTTCTCCAGATTCTCTGAATCTTTTGATATTATGTACAGTACTGTAAGTCTTTGCAATGTACGTTGAGGAACATTATTTTGAAATTGTATGACAATTTTAAGATTTAGCTTTTCACAGATGGTTGCACCTCTGCCCATCTTTACTTCTGAGACACTCTCTCTAAGATGCCCTTTTTATACCCAATTGTGTTACTGACTTGTTGCCAATCAACCTTATTAGTGGCAAAATGTTCTTCCACCTCTTCATTGTTACTAGCACTTAGTCAGCTTCTTGCTGCCCTGTCTCAACTTTTTTTTTTAGACATGCTGCTGCCATCAATTTCAAAATTACCTTATTTCTTTTATAAAATGGTACATTTTCTCAGTTTAAACATTTGACATGTTTGCTATTTTCTATTGTGAATAAGATATGGGTTTATAGGATTTGCAAATCATTGCATTCTGTTTTTAATGCAGATTTTACTCACCATGCATTAAAGATTTGGCAGATAGTAACCTGGTGATCGATTTTACCCATTATTATGGCTGTCAGACCACTTAATTACTTGTTACATTAGGGCATGTTTCAAAGCTGGACAGCCAAGGCAATAGCTAAAATGGTCTAATGTGAATACAAAAAGTTTCAAATGCATAAAAAAAAAAAAAAAAAAACCCCCACAAAAATACATTGGGAAATTAGTCCTGACATCCAGCAATATTAAGAAAACAAGGCATTCTGGTTTAAAGCTGACAGCATCGCAGAAGGAGTTGGGTAACGCAGCTCACTGAAAAATTAACCTTTTGTTAAATAATGAATTAGGCTTTAAATAATGAAACAAACAGCGAAGAAGAAATTTGCTGCAATGAATAGGTGTATATGCAGTTCAATATAGTGCACATTTTTTTAATCGTTAACAACCCAGGTGCAGCCCACAAAGTGTTTTGACATAAAATAAAAGAGAAGAACATTCATTATCCTGTGTAATGATTGACATGTCAGTCACAAGCACTTTCAATATACAATATTACTATGATACCCTAGGTATAACACTTTGTATGCTGTAATTTGTAGACAATGGCATTTTAATTGTAAAAAACTTAAAGCTAAAGATTATATAGTTACAAAAAGTAGCTATCATACATACATCTGTCCACTAACCAAAGGACAGACAATACCAGATGGCAACTCATACAGTGAACTGATTTAAAACTACATGTTCGCTTTCACCCTACTTCCTAGTGCCGGGCTGCCGAAGCACGAACTCCTGGTATACAGGTGTATCCAAATCAAGTCTATGTTACCTTAGTACACAAGGGTGAACAGCCCAAAACTAGACTGGTTTGCAGACATCACAGGAGGGAAGCTGTGGTTTCTTTTTTTTTTTTTTTTTTTTTTTTTTTTTTTTTTTTTGAGGTAAGCATGTACTTTAAATCAAGAAATCCAAATGCATAAAGAGTACAAATATTCTGCAAATATTCATAGCTGTCGTTTACCAACATATTCCTTTACACATTTTGCGTCCCAATGTAATTTTTCATAGCCAGTAAATATTTTTTCATTTTTTTTCCCAGTTCCATGAAAGAAATTGTATTTTCACATTTACAAAAGCACATGCAGTACAAAGAAAATCTGGAAAACATACCCATACATTAGAAATTTTCTCACAATATTTCTGGCATACTTTGACTTGCTCAAGTCCACTATGTGTTCTGTGAGATAGATTAGAGATTATTAGCACATATTCATTATATTAAAAGAATCAAATACAGTAACCATTGACAAAATTCTACAAAACTTCTAGAATTCAGTGCAGAGTTAGAGTGCAATTTACCTTAGGAGCAAAGGCTGAAGTAAATGGTTCTATGTACACATTCTGTAAAGTGCTATGTAACACATACTATAACTATGAATTTTAAAAAATTCAAATGGTTCTAAAGTTTATTTTTTTTACCTTAAAGCATTCTCTGCAATGGGGTAAAAAAAAATCCCTACCATCTTTCCTACCCACCTTCTTCCTTAAAACCTTACTTGACTCCTCTTACTGCTCCAGTGCTGTCCTGGCTGCAGCACCACTCTCCTCTCTTCCTAGTCTCACAGGAGACACTGAGAGCAGAAGGAGCCTATGGCTCCTGCTGCTATCAAACTCTTGTGAGGAGGGTGCAGAGGGTTGTGGCTCTCCAGCGCTGTGTGCCCCTATAGCACTTGGCCTGCTAAGGAGGCACCTCGAGGAAGAAGTAGCAGACAGCACTGGCGGGAGACTGCCAAAAAGGAGGTAAGGACCATTCTGTGCAATATTGTTGCACAGAGCAGGTATGTACAACCTCTTTTTAATTAACAAAACAAAAAAGCACACATTTAACATCAGTTTAACCACTGAAGCCTCCATGGCCTATAAATGTAGCTTAATTTAAGGCAGTGTTTCTCAACTCCAGTCCTCATGGACCCCCAACAGGTCATGTTTTCAGGATTTCCCTCAGATGAAACAGCTGTGGTAATTACTAAGGCAGTGAAACTGATCAAATCACCTGTGCAAAATAATGGAAATCCTGAAAACATGACCTGTTGGGGGTCCATGAGGACTGGAGTTGAAAAACACTGATTTAAGGCCACTCATGAAGGACAGCTGATTGCCTTCAATAATAGATACAAAGATGAATTAATTAACCTTTTCACACAGCATTTACCTGATTAATGCGTATGCAAGGACACAATATTAAAAAACAAAAAACAAAACACTATTCAGTAGATATTTACAATAGATGCATATTTTCCCTTGTTTTTCCCATTTAAATTGCTGGAAATACAGAATACTATCTATTGATTTTCCAGAAATCCAATGTGCTCCTAACTTCATGGCTTCACTGCACTGAAATCGCAACCAGCGTTGTCAGATCTCTGTGCATTCAGTTATTCCCTTGCAAAGCAATGTTGCCTAACTCCTAACACTCTACTTAACCATTAGCCGCCCGGCCAATGGCCGTTTGGCGGCTTGAAAAGCGCTGCAGCTTTCCGGGTGCAGGCCATTTGGCGTGCTCCCGCACATGCGCGGTTTGCGCGGTTGCAGAGCGACGCAGCAGTGCGATCTGTCACCGCCCGTGCACCTCGGACACGGCCGATGACAGATCCGAGTACCGGCTCCCGTTGCCGGTACCATGTGACCTGCTGTGACCAATCACAGCAGGTCACATGACAGTTGTATAACAATGGATGGCTTCATTCATGATGCCATCCATTGTATACTAGTGCCTAGCTGTGAATGGTCACAGCTAATCACATGCACATGTCATGTGATTAGCTGTGACCAAATCACAGCTAAGCACAAAAAAAAAAAAAAAAGCTGAATGAATCGATTTCATTCAGGTAAATGCTTGCTTATAGCAAAGTAATTCTTTGCTATAAGCAAATTGTGTAAAAAAAAAAAAAAAAAAAAAAATACTGATCACTTCCCCAAAGTAGTACAGTGTAACTATGGTAACATTGTACTATTTTGGTCATAGCAAAATATGAAAAAAAATCTTAAAAAAAATAAAAAAAATAAAAAATAAAAAAAAAAAAAAAAAAAAATTAAAAAAAAAAATATATATATTTTTTTTTCATACTGTCACCAGTCAGTGTCGCTGTTCACCGCCATGCCAGTTATAGGATGACGCTGTACTGCACTGGTGACAGTATGTAAAAAAAAAAAAAATAGTGAAAATAATTTTTTTAATTTTTTCATTTTCCGAAAAATTATGACAAAAAAATACAACTTCAAAAAACTCGCCATGCCTCTTATGAAGTACGTCGGACTGTCTACTCTGCAAAAAGGGGTCATTTGGGGGATATCTGTACTGTTCTGACATTCTTGGACCTCAAGATATTAGATTGGCTGTCAGTACTTCAGGATTGATCAATATTCAGATCTATACCATAGTTTGTGAACTCTATAACTTTCCTACAAACTAAAAAATACATCCTAATTTGGGTTATTTTCACCAAAGACATGTAGCAGAATACATCTCGGCCTAAATTTATGAAGAACAATTATTTATTTGTAAACTTTTATAACAGAAACAAAGAAAAAAAGTGGGTTTTTTTTTTCAAAATTTTTGGTCTTTTTTTGTTAATTTAGCAAAAAATAAAAACCCCAGCGGTGATTAAATACCACCAAAAAAAAGCTCTAGTTGTGTGAAGAAAATGATCAAATTTTAGTTTGGGTACAATGTTGTATGACCGCGCAATTGTCATTCAAAGTGTGAGAGCGCTGAAACCTGAAAACTGGCCTGGGCAGGAAGGTGTAAAATTGCACGGTATTGAAACGGTTAAACAGTGTGTGTAGGGAAAGGGCTCTTGGAAGAGGTAGCCTTGGGGGGAATCAATAGGAACTGAACAGCTGCCCCATAGTACTGTCACAGGAAATAATAAAAGCTGTTTCTTGCTACAGAAACAAGTTAAAATGAAAAAATAAATAAAATAAAGCTTGCTCAGACATGTCCTACAGGCAGGAGAAGGGTTTTAGGGCAAATTTAGCCAATGCCTGTATATACACTTTATTGCTCCATGCAGACTGAACATAAAAAAGCCAGTGCTCTTGGCAGGAGAAAAAAAAAAAGCCAATTTTGAGCATTTTTTTTAGTACTAGCATTTAAGAGCCATTATGAGCCATTTAGCATTTTATTCTGCCAGGAAAACACTCTTAAAAAATATTCAAAACAAAAGGGTTTTTTTTACTGCCTCTAACCGTGGAGCTTAAAAAACACCTCCAAACTACCTTCTGTGTATGTACACATAGAATAACATTAGTTGCTTCTACACGCAAAACGCTAAACTCCTCTAGGAGCAGTGGTTTCTTTTAAGCCAGCATGCACGGAGCCTTCTAAGGGCTCGTTCACACTTGGCTGTTTTGCAACGCTTGCCAAACACTGGTCTGGCGTTTGCGGAGCGTTTTTTAACGCTCGGCAAACGCCGCATGCGCGGTTTAGCGGCGGTTGCTAGGCGTTTGCCGAGCGTTAATAACGCCCCACAAACGCCTATAATGCAGTTTGAGTGGTGTTACCACTCCGCAAACACCCCGCAACCGCGCTTGCAACAGAAGCGGAGCGGAGCGGCACCATAGATGAGAATAGGAGGCTTCAACGCCTCCTGACTCGTCCAGAGGCGTCCGTTTTGCCGCGACGCACCGCAAACGCTCCCGTTAGAACAGCACCATGTGCTGTAATGTGCAGAATTGGCAGAGGCGTTTGGGAAGCGGTAAAAAACGCTTCCCAAACGCCTCTCTGCCGCCTGCACACAGCGCTAGTGTGAACGTAGCCTAAAGGTATCTGCTGCATAACAAATATAAATACATTGGGAGCAGAATACCTTTAAGTTCATCAAAAACATCTTGCCTTCTTTTTTCATTGGCGTGTTTTATGTAACACTGGATGACCCTGGTTGTATCATGAGCAAATGCAATCTGTAAGAGACAAGACATGAAAAACAGATCAACCTGGGATGAGTACTGTAAAATGTAATAGGTTCCAATAGATTGCGCTTTAACAGATTCAATTGGTTCTTACTTACAAACAACTAATAGTATGTGTTAAACCTTGACTAAAATCAAATGTTACATAAAGCTATGTTACCAGTCCTACTATGATGGTTATAGGCCACACAATAGCTCCAAAAGATCAAAAAACCCCACCCCCCTTTTTTTTTACAAATCCCTTCTGATATTGTTCTGCTGAGAATATTTTAAACAGACAGGAAGTGAGGGTAACTCTCCAAAAGCAGCACAGGAAGAAATAAAAATGCTTTTCTTTGGAGAGTAGGCTCGAAACGATTTGTATTTCTTTTCTTCACTTCCTGTGTGTTGAAACTTGCCAGAGGAACAGCCAGAGGGGGCAAATATTGGTTAACATTAAAAAAAAAAAAAAACAACTTAAGTTGCAAACCTTTCTAATAAACCTAGTAAAATTAAATTTTTGACTTGATATACACGATAGATGACCAAGGTTATTTTGGAACTTAGTGATCACATTGACTCCACCCCGAAGATTTAAGAAATAATATTTCTCTTGAACAGCTACAATGCGTCTATGCAAAGTGTTGTACTCCTCTTTGCCTCTTGCAAGTATAGGACAGAGAAACAAGGTTTCCCTGAAGGATAAAGACTATAGAAACACAACAAAAATTATGGGTATGCTAAAGGGTACAATATACTTGAACACAAGAAGGAAAAAAAAAAAAAACCTGAAATTTAAATTTAACAGTTGACATAACATTACTTAAGGAATAATAAAAGACAAGCAGGCAATAGATTTTAAAATCTATGAATACAATTTAATAGAACATTTGAGAACATGTATGCACCACATTTCTTAATTGCTTTCAGATATACTGCAACAGTTGCGTCTCAGGGGATGCCAAAAGCATATTTAAATGTAATACATATTGACCCATTATGCAATCTAATTAAACTGACTTATGTGTCTCAAGACCAGAGCAGCTCACATTGATTAGCTGCTTAATGAAAGCAATTAAAGCTCAAACATGTAGAGCGGAAGACTCATATTATGTGGTCTAACTTTGGCCGCAGGTTCATTCAATCATATCCACTCACACTTTTCACATTCCCTTGAAGCAGCTTCTCAAGCTCGTCCATTAACTTGACTCTTTTTTTGGCATCACAGTCTTTTCTAGAAATAAACATACAAGATATTTAGAGAGTTTTCTTTTTTCCAATTTTTAATGAAAGGTGCAGATATCATAACATAATAAAGACATATAAAACAACACTTAGGCCTAAGGTACATGGTGGTCTCTCCCTTCTGAATTTCAAAAAGTATTATCAAGTTGTACTGTAGTCTTGACTAGAATTGTTCACCGGAAATATGCCTTTCATTCCAAACTACAGGTTACATTAGAATAAAACAGAAGTCATTTATAAGCTTCTCTCTCGCTGGCATAACAGCCAAGACAAATCACGTTTCCTGAGTTTTCTACAATGTTTTGGAGAGGATGTGATGAATTTTCCACTCATGCCCACATTTTGTGGTATTTCCCACTCATCAAAGCTTACTAGGGTAAGATATTTTATTTTACTGAAAAGATTCAACATACTGAAGCCCCCTGAAATCCATTATATGTCTTGTTTCATTGTACAGATGAACCAATAGTCCAATATGAGCCCTAGTTCACACTAGCCCGTAGGTTGCAAGCTGGTTGCGAGTGTAGGAATTGCACCTGTTCTAAAACCCACAATCACTCGCAGCCGAATCGTGCTGCTCTGGAGAGATGCACGGGGCTGCCATCCATTCTGAATGGTACCCCCACGCAACTCAGCTTGCAGCGCAATCACAGGAACCACAGGGAGACCGCATGATCAAAAAGACCATGCGGTTTCCCTGAGGATGCATTTTAAAATGACAGGGCTACACGCACAGCCCGCACTAATGTGACCCTATCCTAAACAGTTATTTATGCCCCATTTACTCAATGCAGCTAAGGCTTTATTCTTAGTTCACTGGCATCAAGCCAACACCCAAGCTAATTAATACTGGCTTCACTGGGTTAACCACACATGTTTAATGGAAGACCTCACATCTCGTATCCGTGATAAACAGTCTTTTTAGGGCCTAACGGTTCATCTTTAACACTACCCCCTACTACCTGGACCTGTCTCAGGCCACATTCACAGGTGATTTGGAGTATCAGCAAAATGTGCATTTGGGTGCCATTATTCTTGCAGAGGATTTTCACCCCTGTAAAGACACATTAATACGTTAGCAGCTACAAATACTGTAGCTGCTGACTTATAAAAAAAGCAAACACTTACCTGTCTCATAACCTAGCGATGTCCTCACCGAACCTGGCTCTTTTGGGTCCAGGCACTGGCATATTAACTGTGGGTAGCCGACTGACTCCTTGTGGCTTCACAACTGGCTGCCCACTGTACATGCACAAGTCACGCCATGAATGGTCCTGCAGTCTCCTGGGGCCTCTGATGTGTCCCAAGAAGCTGTGGGGAATGGTGGGGAACTTCCAACATGATTGCCTAGGGAGTCGGAGCGGAAGTGAGAGGTGGTAACTGTCAATATCAGACATATGACAGGTACTCCTTACAGAGAGGTCTGGGGTCAGTAAGACCCCCACATGCCCCCTCTGCCCTTAAAAGCATTTGATCACACCAAGATCGGCGTGATCAAATGCTTTTCATTTTCAAAAATGGCACCGTTTAAATCCGTGTAAATCGAGTGATGTAAGGTTATCGCATCAGGATTACAATATCATAGAGCTGAACAAAGCCAATCTGGTCTTTGTTCACTCTATGAGGTCGAGCAGGGCTCCGGATGGGACGGGAGATCCCAGTAAAGCAGCGGATGGTGGTGGGACGGGGGTCTCCCCTCCCGCTGCCTGCAACAGCAATCCAGTGGCTAATTAGCTGCTCAGATTGTTTTTACAAGAGAGACAATCATTGGCTCTAAAAACAGTACTGGGATGATGCCTGCAGCTGCAGACATCATTTTGGTATAACTACTCAAACTCCAGCTATGCACAGGTACATCGCTGGAGCAGAAGTGGATAAGCAGCATTTTTTATGCCAGTGTGTGTGCACCCTAAAGGAGATCTATGCTCACAGCATTTAATTTAATTTTCTAACATCAGTATTGTGATAACAAATACAAATAGTTTTTTTTGATCCAATACTATACATACATTACTTAAAAAAATGTTGTGAGCGCTGCCTTTCTGCTGGCCATCTCATCCAACAACTTTCTGGATTCCCTGCATGCTTCACAGCTTCTACTATGTTTACTTTCAATTTCTAAGTACTACAGATCCCATGGTACCTTGCTGCCTGCAAGCTGTGATTTCTGTACTCACTCCGCCTCCTGAAACTCCTCCTCTCAACACCTCTAGTTAAGAAGGCAGGCTCCGTGAAATGTGTGACAAAGCAGTGCCTATCAACAGGGCAGAGTGAATGTGTGTCACAGAGTTCAAGGAAGTAAATTTGTGGGGATCCTCACAAAGTTTACAGAATTTAAACTCAGTTTAACAGGAGTAGGCTAGAAATCATTGAAACACAATGTGGAAATATGATTTTATTTCCATATTGTATTGTTAAATTTAGACCATGGATACACTTTACATTTTTGTTTTTAGATACACTTTAATCCTTTCGCTGACAGAGAAGCTTTTGCACACATTTGAAAAATGATAAAGGCCTGAACATTATGCGAAACCCCAAAACATATTTCAATCCATGGCGGCGTATTGTGTTACCAATGGTTTGTTTAGCGACTGTGGTCCCAACTGCCGTGAGATCATTCAAAAGCTCTTCCCATGGAGTTCTGGGCTGATCCCTCACTTTTCTAATGATCATTCTTACCCCATGATGCGAAACCTTGCACTGGGCTCCAGACCAAGGGCAATTGATGGTTATTTTTTATTTCTTCCATTTGCAAATAATAGCACCAGCAGTTGTCTCCTTCTCACCAAGCTTCTTGCTGAAGGTCTTCCAGCCTTGTGCAGGTCCTGTCCCTAATATCCTTTAACAGCTCTTTGGTCATTTGCCCATGGTGGTGAGGTTTGAATGGTAATTTGCTCATGGTGGTGAGGATTGAATAGTAGAAAGATTCTGTGGATAGGTGTCTTTTATGCATATAACGAGTTGTCATTAGGCACGCCTTCTTAAATTTACAGGACTAATCTGTACCACATGAGCACATAGCCAGTCTGTGGAAGCCAGAAATATTGTTGCTTGGTAGGGGATCAAATACTTATTTTACTCACTGAGCTGAAACTAAATTTATAACATTTGTAGCATGAGTTTTTTTATGGATTTGTGGTTGATATGCTATCTTTATTTAAAATACACCTGCTATATGGTAAAATGTCTGCGAGCAATATCCATCTGTACTATCATCCATGCCTTGTATGAATTTCGAATTCACCCTGCACTGCTATATGGTAATTATTTGCAAGCAAAATCCATCTGTACTATCATCCATGCCATGTACGAATGCTAATTCACCCTGCACTGCTATATGGTAATTATTTGCAAGCAAAATCCATCTGTACTATCATCCATGCCATGTACAAATGCTAATTCACCCTGCACTGCTATATGGTATTTGATACTGCTTTTAAAATCGACCTCTAACTGAAGCTGATTCATAACTATTAGTGTTCTTATTGGTAATTCTTACTGCTTCCAAAATCTCTAACTCTGTGCATATTACTGTGGTGTTTATTTTAATCTTATTGTCTAACCCAAATTTATGAGCTGATCCTAATCTTTACAACTCTGCCCTCCTGCTCTCGTTGTCTTTTGTAGTCCTCCTTTGGTGTGAGAAGTTTGCCCTGCTATCCATGTGTCTCTGCTATGCATTCCTAATTGATTAATTGGCAATACCCCCACCCAACTCAGTATAAATTTAGGCCTTCCTTAGTTGACGCACAGCCAGGGGCAGCATTGACAACTATCATCTTGGCTAAAGTATTGATCATGGCTTACGTACTGAGCAATGCACTTCGGCTCTGCACTTCAGCGAATGCACAAAGCGAGAAACCACAGCAGACAACTTCAAATACTAATCAGACTACAGGTGACCTGTTTCCCCCATCCAGCTCTTTCACCTCTTAGCCAGTCTGCTTCTTCATCTCACTAATCTGTAACATGCACTCCCTACTCCTCCTTCTCACAGTTGTACCCTCTCTCTTCAAACTCTCTCTCCTTCACCCCTATTCTCCACCCCCACAGCTTAATAAGGTGAAGACAGGAGTGAGGGTGATATATATACTATACTCATCAACTCCTGCTAATTTTGAGCCCACATACTAATAAAACCTCCAGGACACTGGGACCTGTCCCTCCATATAAGTCATACTCATACTCCCATATTACCTCTCTCACCCTTCTGCTTCTCCTAATATCTGGAGACATTTCCCCAAATCCTGGACCACCATCTTTTTCCTTTGACCAATATACTTGGCACACCCTATCCTCTAACATCGGTCGCAATCCACACAATCTGGTTGCTATTCCTCTTCTTCATAGAACCAGCCTCCCCTTTTCCTGTGCTCTTTGGAATGCCCGCTCTGTCTGTAACAAACTCAGCTCTGTCCATGACCTTTTTATCACAAATTTCTTTAACCTGCTTGCAAATATGGAAACCTGGCTTCATGTATCTGACTTTCCCTCTCCTGCTCCCTCTCCCGTGGTGGTCTCCTCTGGACTCACTCTCCCAGGACTAGTGGACGGAAAAGAGATGGAGTTGGAATCCTCCTATCCCCACAAAGTACTTTTCAGGTCCTTCATTCACCTCCCTCTCTGTCCCTCTCACTTCTCTGCCTGGCTGTCTTACTTTCTCTCTTCTGAAATTCCCTCAATCAGTCTTGGTGACTTCAACATCCCTGTTAATCTTAACCTCACAACACTCCTGCTACTTCTAAACTCCTAAGCCTAACCACTTATTTTAACCTAAAACAATGGACACATGCTTCTACTCACTCCAATGGTAACTGCCTTGACTTTGTATTCTCCTACCTATGCACTCCTTGCAACCTCACCAACTTTCCTTTTCCTCTCTCTGATCACTCCCTTATTAGCTTCACTCTCTCCTTCGCTTCCTCCTCCTTGTCCTCCAACAGCCAAACAGTTACCCGTAGAAACCTTCGCGATCTTAACCCCTCT